CTCCTCATCCCCTCTCTTTCTCTATTTATTTTGCCACCTGGACCTCTTCACTCCATTCATCTGAAGAAGTGGGTTGTGCCCATGAAAGCTCATGACCCCATCTCCATGTCTGGGTAGTCTTTAAAGTGCTACCAGACTCTTTGTTGTTTTTTTAAGTTTATCCTGTACAGACTAACTTGGCTAGCCCCTAAAGCTAATAATTAATAGGCTGCTTGGGGCAGTAGCCAATTACTTATTCTGCTTATGCCTAGCACCAGCTTTGTCTCCAACACTATGGTTGCCAATTTTGGTTCAACATGTTCCTGGAAGTTTCATTATATGACATAATCTTTAATTTCTGTCAACTCCAGGACAATCCTGGAGGGTTAGTAACTTGACATCAATCTGACTGATTCCACCCCCCCTGCACCTTCCTCATTGTTTAAGTTAATGCAGCAGTCAGTTTTGTACGCTGTGTGCTTTTGAATTTAAAACAATCTAACTTTCAGCTAGAGTTCCAGGCGCTTAAAGCAGTGGGTTTGATTTTGGCTGGTCCTATGCTATAGAAATGTCAGTTTAGCCATGAAGTGAGAATGGAGTTTGTCTTCAGGGCTCCCTCCAAACTGCGCACCATGCACAAGGCACTTCATGCCCGCCCACCTCGCCTCCACCGCGCTTTCCTGCTGGACCGGAAGGTGAATGGTGGTGGCGGTGGCCGGGTGGGGCCGTGGGGTGGCAGGCGTCTGCCCCGCCCCCCTTTGCTCTGGCTGGAGCCGGGGCACAGTGAGGTTATCCATGTGGCTGGCCCCGGTTCTAGCTGTGGTGGGCAGGATGCTGTGGCCTAGCTGGTGGGGCTGTGTGGTGGGCAGTGGCTACTCTGGTGGTCTCGGCCAGGGCCAGAGCCGCCGCATGACAGGTGGCGGTGGCAGCTCTGTCGACCTGGGCCAGAGCCACCATGGCAGCACGTGACCCTCAAACTTATCCCCCGGCTCTCAGCTGCAATACCGGCAGGTGTGTGGCTGCCAGCCAGCAGCCCTGGCCCTCTTACCCCAGGAGCTGCTGGGCAGCGCAGCCCCAGCTCCCCCTTGCCCACTGGTTGAGGGAGCCGGGCAGCCCAGCCCTTTCTCCCATAAAGAGCTGTGGGCTGGCCAGGGGTTGGGCAGGCCAGCTCTGCTCTCCCCAGTGAGGAGCTTCCTCGGGGGCCAGGTACCTCAGTCCTGGGCCCACCTCCTGCAAGGAACCTCTGGGGGAGTGGGCAGCCCAGCTCCAGCCTCCCCCCAGCGAGGAGCTGCCATCTCCCTGGCCTCTTCGCCCCCCCATGCCCTGAATCCTGCACCCCCTGGCCTGAGCCCCTCCATCCCTTCTATCCCTGGCCCTGATTCCTGTGCTGCAGGGTCATGCATCTTGTTAATTATCCCTTGGTTTAGTGTTGTTTCTTACATAGATAATTTAAACTGAGATCTGCCCAGATCGGTCTGTCTCTATCTAAACATGTTGCTTGCTACTGGCGGGTGCCGCAGTGGAGCACACCTGAACAAGTGCACACGATGGCCGTGTTGGTGCACAAGACAAAACTCCCTCTGCTCACGGATGGGAAATGTTCGTGGAGATTCTGCTTCCATTGGAACTGTTGTAGAAGGAGGTTGCTTGCTTGGTTCGAACGAAGACGTTAACACAGTTATTCAGTGACTAGACGTGGCAGTGGGTTAAAAAGGGTAGCAAAGGAATTATTTTGAATTTGTATTTCATAGTGAGTCTTGTATTCTCATCTACGAACTCCATGGACCCCTGCTCCCAGTTGGATCCCAGATGACTTTGTTGGAACCGGGGCTGCCTGCACAGTTCTCTGTTGTGGGGTCAAGGCCTCGCCATGCAGTAATACACTTCCTGTTACAGGCGGGGGTGGACTCACTCCCCATTAATGTTGCCTGAAGCTCCTTCCACCATGTTTTCAGTCATTTTTACCTTTGCCAAACTTTAACCGTTCGGATTGAAATTTCAGCTAAAACGGTTCCGTTGTTTCTGAGACCAGAATAGTCTGTTTTGCCCCTTCTAACAATTCCAGTGACCTCTTTGGGTGCCGGTAGCATCCTCATGTTTTGGAGCAGTGACTTGAGTTTTGGCACACAGGTGGCCTTTGTGGCAGGGATATACACCTTTCGCCTTCCACATGAAAATCTGCCCCAATTTGGCCAAGTTTCACATGCCTTTGAAACATCACCCTTCACACTTGCCCGGGCTTTGCAGCTACATTGGGCATGCTCCAGCCTGGGGTTGACTTTTGCTGCAATTGCAGCTGGGACAGGGCACGAGAACTGAGAGCAGGGTGCCTCTCACCTGGTACTCATGCCCCCTGCGCCCCTGTGTTGCAGGAGCAAGAAGCGGAAAGAGGTGGGGTGAGGAGCCTAGTGGGGGAAGAGTGTGGGCAGTTGCACTGCTGGGGCAGGGCGTTAGGACTGAGGGGTGGAGGGAGAGGTCCGGTTTTAGCGGGCACTACTGTATATTGAAGAGTGAACCACTTGAACGTAGCCTGGGGTTACACGTTCTGTGAAGAGCTGGAGGAAAGCAGGTTGTGTCCGCGCTTTCCAAGTATGGCGTTCATGCACATGCATTGTGGTTATGCCAAGGTAGCACCAGAAGTGACTGTACACAGCAGTCCAAATATCGCTTCACCAGTGTTTTAATTCTTCTCTTGTTAGACTGCCTGTCTCTGAAGTGGAGAAGTTCCACGTCTCCGTAAACATGGAAAAGGATGAGAAGAAGATAGTAAATGAAGATGAGGAGGATGAGATGGTAATCAGTTTGGTGGCCTAGTTTCACTCATTGAGAAAATGCTGCTTTTGTGTGTGGGGCATATTGTTTTAGGCACAGCCCTCCAAAGCCCTTTCTGCAGTCGGAGAGGACAAGTGCTGGGGTACGAATGTCCATCATCAGGGCCCACACCGCATGTTACTCTCAATGGCCATTTCAAGGATAGCTGCAGCAAGGAAGTGTTTCATAGAAACCAACTGTGCCTGGTCACTTGTGGGATGGTGCCTGGCTGTGCTTACAGACGCAGTTCCTGGCCCATTTGGGGAGGCAGCTCTGTAGCTATTAGATAGCAGCAGTTAAACCTGGCTCCTCGCCGCTTTTGCAGATTCAGACTAACACGGCTACCCCTCTGATACTCTAAGGTGGAGTCTGTAACTTGTCAAGGTTTGGGGGCAGCTAGGCTTAAGAGGAAGGCTCCAAGGCTAACCTTGGAATGTCCAAGGCCTTTGAAGGGGAAGAGGCAGGCTGCGGAGAGGGTTGATCAGGGATGGTGAGCTAATTTGCATAGCTCCTCCACCCCTTCTGCTTTTCCACTCTTAGTTAGGGTGACCAGATTTCCCAAAGAGAAAATGTGACACCCACAGCCGCTCGCCTGAGGGCTTCTCACTGGACTCCTGCTCCCTTCCTCCTTCCCTCCCCACCTGCTTCAGTGTTGCTTCCCCTAGGGGCCCACATTTGTCCTGATTGCTCTGGCCTGCTGATTGAGTCAGCTAGAGCCAGTGTGAGAAGTGGCCCCTTGGGGAAATAGTCAGGACGCGGCTTAAGCAAGGGACTGTCCCGTCCAAAACGGATGCAGCCACCCTGCTCTTAGTGCACAGACAGTGATGGTGGCTGCGAGGGCATGCGGCACAGGCTCTGCTCTGCGGAGGTGACGGAAGGGCTGCGTGGCTGTTACTTCTTCATAACCAAAGCCCAGGATCTGGCCCTTTAAAAACCTAAGAGCAACACATTGGTCACTAAATAACCCCTGCGCTGGTCCAGAAAAAGGAAATGTACTTCCCAGAACATTGCAAAATAGCATTTTTGCTCTAGAAGGTGGCTGCTAAAAAACAAAACAAAACGCCACAAACTTTGTGTTGGTGGGAAGAGAAAACATGCCAGCTACTTTGTTGGTCTTCCCCAGCACGCTTTTTTCTTCTTCTTCTTCTTCTTCCCATCAAGGAAAAAATGTGAAGAAAATGTAACGTTTTCCCTAAACAAACAAATTTGTCAAGAATAATAAAAAAACAACAGCAGCTTTTCTTTGTTGAAAGGCATTTTTCATTAAAAAATGACAGAACAGTATAAAGGAGCTCTAGGACTTCTGAAGTACAATGATGTTTCAAAACCAGGTTTCTGTGTCAGTATTTTCCTAAGTCTGACTGATGCTGGCAGGTCTCAATGACAAGCTTTCATGTTGCAGATAGTTCATAGCAGGAAAGCTGGTCCATGTAGCCCGAGACAGCGGAAATCCAGCTCAGCATTTGAAAGCTTCCCAGGTTACAGCACTGAAAGGCTTCTGCAAATTTTCGATGACAAAATGTTCCCAAGTATCATGTGGATGAGAAGTACCGCCTCCCAATTACAGGCTCCCTTTAGCAAAGCTTAAGATAAAATGAGAGTCGTTTGGTTCATTCCTTCTTCCCATTCCAGACTGCCCCATCCCTCTCTTTATTTCCTCCTGAGAGAATGAAAAGCATTTGTCAGTCAGCTTGTTACCATGTGGATTGATTTAAATCAGCAGTTTAAATCATGCATTATATCACCAAGTGGAAAGCATTGACTTAAGTCATCAAATCAACTTGAACTTCAGTTATTTTCTAAAGGAAGATTTTTTTCCTGCTGGTTGATATAATAACCATTGAAACATGCTATTTACAGCTAAATACTACTTTTCCAGTAGATTTGATACATCTCTTGCTGCCTAGGAAGGGTACATTATAACCAAAATACTACTTTTCCAGTAGATTTGATACATCTCTTTTGCTGCCCAGGAAGGGTACATTATAACCGTGTACATTTATTTAAATAATTATGTAGTTGAATATTCTCAGATTATTTAACATTTTTCCTGTGTTAGCAGGGTTCGCCAAACCGCAGAGTCATGATCAGGGCTTCCCCCCCCCCGGCGAGCCCCGCTCGCCAGCTGCGCTGTCCGGCGATCTTCCGTCTTGTAATCTACTCGCCACGGGCGACTAGATTACATTAATTGTCGAGCCCTGTGTGTTAGAATGATGATGCAATTTTATAGATTACTATCACTTTGCTTATGGAAAAACTTAAACAACAAATAGTCTTGTAGCGCCTTAAAGACGAACAAAACATGTCGATGGTATCATGAGCTGGGACTGGCCCTGCCTAGGGCAGGGGGCTGGACTTGACCTTCTGAGGTCTCTTCCAGCTCTGTGGTTCTAGGATTCTATGAGCTTTTGTGGGCACAACCCACTTCTTCAGAGAAGGTGCTACTAGACTATTTGTTGTTTAAGTTTTTCCTGTTACAGACTAACTCGGCTCCCCCTCTGCAGGTTTTGCTTATGCTTTGTGTCAAGTTGCATAAGGATGGTAACTGAAATTTAAACCCTCCAGTTTATTTTTATTAAACAAAACAAGTTTTTGGTACAGTAAATGATCTCTTGAGCCCTATTTATAAAGCATGACCTAAACATTGGATGTTTTACCCCTGATTATTTATACAGAAAAGCAGTCTTTAGCGCATAGATCTTGATAGGGGCTCACAGATTCAGCATATTTATTTTTTATTATTTTAGGAGATCTTAATAAGGTTAGATTTTGACATATTTTGTATTAAATTTAGATTTCCTTTTAAACTGGCTTATTTTTAGAAGAAAAAGCTATGTACTTTAAATAATATAATAAAAATCATTTAAAATAAGTCAGTTTTAAAAAATTATCACTTTTTTCAGCCTCCTTTGGGGTCAGATTGTGAACAGAAAGAAATATGCTAAATTGCTTACAGTTGCTGTTGGACTGCAGAGCAGCTTCCATGCCATGTTCCCATACATCCTCATAGCCGGGGACTGACCCTGGCCCTTATGCACTGCAGGCAAGATTGTAACGTAATAGTTTCCCTGAATAAGTGTCTCAGAAGCAGGCCATGGAGAAGTTTGTTTCTTTTTTGCTGTGTTGTTAAATTGGTGTGTATGTGGCACTTCACTGGGGTTGTTTGAGTCTATGCGTGTTGGATTGAACAATGTTCAATTACCATCCTGATGCACTATAGAAAATAAACTTTATGGAACCCTCCCCCCAAAGAAAAGAAGAAACACCTTTGAAGTATGACACATCTGCCACAGCTTGTAACAGATTACTACTGACTTTTTCCTCCAAAAAAAGTTCATTGTTTCTGTTTCCGTTTCCGTACAGGAGATTTATGGGTATAAGCTGTGCCGCTGGAAGCTAGTTTTAGTTGCTGTCGGGGTGCTTTGTACTGGTGGTTTCTTCCTCCTCCTCCTCTACTGGATGCCTCAGTGGCGGGTGAAAGCAACATGCGTAAGGACTACACTGAAGGACTGTGGGGTGGTGCTACTGAGAACAACGGTAAGTTTGTGCATGGAACGTCCTCCAGTGTTGCGAATGCAGCGATTGAAATGGAGAAGTTAGAGGTGGTCGTTATCGGCTCTCAGGCTTGGAACCGGAGCGATATTATTGTCTTTGCATCCCAGTTTATAAATAACCTAGAAGATTTACTTGGCGTTGCTCAGGTCCTTCACCCAATTCATTTTTACTTTTTGGAGAATAAAATGAAAATGTCCCGACTTCATTTCAGTCATTGCTGGGCTGGGGCTGCGGAGGAGGGGTTCAGGATGCGGCTGCCCTCGGGAGAGAGGAGACCCCAGCTCTCCCTCAGCGTAGCAGCTTGGGGCCGCTCCTTGGCCTCTGCAGTGGGCACAGCTGGGGGAGGAATGCATGTCCACATTCATCTGTCCCCAGCGCGCTCCAGCCAGCCTGGGGAATGCACTTTCCTCTCATTTTCTGACACGGGAGCAGCCAGCAATGTTCCTGTATGAATTGGAGAGGAGGGAGCTTCAGCTCCTCCTGCCTCCCCAGAAGGCCCCTGGGGGATGGGGGGAGAGGCTCAGAGTTGGGGCAGTCCCAGACGGGAGGGGCGCCCCCAGCCAGCCCCTTTCACCTGCCTGGTGATTGTTTCTTTTCTGTATGGTTTTCTGGGCAGCAATCCCATTCCAGGCATATCCCATTTTCCTGGCACAACCAAACCCTGACCTTGCTTTAAGTTATGGTAAGGGGAAGCTGCCTACCAAATTTGGTGGTCCCAGCTCTTAGCATTTAGGATGAGTTCTTGAACAGACAGACATGCAAACTCTCAAATATATAGTAGATGACAGGCTAGTTTACCAATTGAAAACAAACTGAAATCTTGGGGTGTGTCTAGACTACATGGCTCCGTCGACGGAGCCATGTAGATGAGTTTACTAGACATAGGAAAATGAAACGGCGGTTTAAATAATCGCTGCTTCATTTACATCAAAATGGCCACCGCGCTGTGCCGATCAGCTGTTTGGCGGCACAGCGGGGCAGTCTGGATGCTCCGCAGTCCACAAGGGAAGCCTTTGTCGACGGTTCCGGTAAACCTCATTCCATGAGGCATAACGGAGCGGTGTCCAGACGGCCCCACTGTGCCGCCAAACAGCTGATCGGCACAGCGCGGCGGCCATTTTGATGTAAATGAAGCAGGGATGATTTAAACCTCAACTTCATTTTCCTATGTCTAGTAAACTCATCTACATGGCTCCGTCGACGGAGCCATGTAGTCTAGACATACCCTTGGAGTGGGCTTTGGGGTAAATGAAATCATGAGAACTTTAGAAAAATACTCCCTTTGCTGTGAAAATTGTAAAAGGTTGTACTCTTCTTGTGTAGCCTTGTGTGCATGAAGAATGGTGAATACCCAAAGGATCAGGGGTGGCAGGTTTGTATAATTTTTTGGTGGTGCTCAGAATGGGTCTAGTAGTGGGCTTTGGGGTAAATGAAATCATGAGAACTTTAGAAAAATACTCCCTTTGCTGTGAAAATTGTAAAAGGTTGTACTCTTCTTGTGTAGCCTTGTGTGCATGAAGAATGGTGAATACCCAAAGGATCAGGGGTGGCAGGTTTGTATAATTTTTTGGTGGTGCTCAGAATGGGTCTAGTACCACCCCCCCCCGCCCTGTCTAGTAACCCCCCCCCCCGCCCTATAAGCTATTATTTATTGTATTAAATGATGTAAAAATGGACTGGAAACCATAAGCGTTTAACAGTTTCCCTTTATTGCACAATATCATGATCGTAAGAAAAATTATTTAACTAAGAATATCAACGTTATTAATACTCTTTTGAATATGGAAACAACCAATCACTCTTTGATCAATAATCCTTGGTGGCTTGCATTTTCTCGGGAGTCTCTGCTGTCCTGACTCGGACATTGCCCTCAGCCCTCCTGAGACTTGCCCCCCTCCACTAGCCCTCCAGTTCTATGGTTCTATGATTCTAATGTTGTTAATACTCTTTTGAATATGGAATGAACCCATTGTGGATTCCATTGTGAATATAATATAGTATAGTATAGTATAATTTTGTTGTACCTGTTGTGACGAAGTGGGAATGTTCTTAATGTTTTCTCTGATGGACACATGACCAGAAGTAAAGTCCCCTCTTTCATTTCTGTAAGAATATGTGGACCTGATATTTAATTGGTTTGTATTCCAGTTAACATTGATACTTATTTAAAAAAAGGAAAGTGTCCCTAGATTCACTTTTATGCACCCTTACAAGGTATTGAACACTATTGTGTTTCTCTATTAACAACTTTTTTTTCTTTGTTAGGATGAATTCAGGATATGGTTTTGTGCAAAGATTCGCATTCTGCATTCTTGGGGACCCAGCCCATTACAGAATCCTCCATGTATTGCAGACAAAGTTTCAAGCGGTCATTTATATGAAAGCCTTGCCGAAGAAAATAGAAATTACCCGCACAAATATTTTCCTGTAAGTGGACCTGTGGTACCTGAACCCTTAACCTTCAAGGCACCTATGACTAGGCTGCACACACATGACAATGCATGTGACCTGTTTAGACTGTCAGAGGCCAGTTGGTTGAGGTAGGGAAATGTGCCCCTATATTTTAAGTTATATAACAGATCTGTGTATTGTGGGATTAATGAAAGACATTAATAAGACTTTTGAAAAATAAACTATCTTGTATAAAATATATTGTCAGCAGAGCAGAGAAGGGTACACAGTCAAAGTTTTGTATTTCATTTTCATACCTATAATATAGCTAATTTAAGTTAATTTTTGTTACAAATGTTTAACATATATACTAAATTTAACAGAAAACAGGATAATATAGCTAATTTAAGTTAATTTTTGTTACAAATTTTTAACAGATATACTAAATTTAACAGAAAACAAATGTTGAGCAATGCCAGCTCAATATATAATTGCATGCATTTGCTTTACAGATTCGCTATTTCACACATCACAGTGTAAAGTATTTCTGGAATGATGCAATCCAAAGTTTTGACGTCAAAAAGTAAGAATATTACTTCGTTATTAGTGCCTTGTAGAGCAAGTGTGTGTCTTGTCTTGTTGTCTGTGTTCCCAAAAAGCTTTTAAAAATGACAGTATTGCAGCACAGTTTTCCAATCTCTGATTTGCCTTTTTCATTTCCTAATGAACTTCAGGACTTTCATGATTGGTAGCAGGGGTCTTGGTTAATCCATTAACTAGTGCGCCACATCTGTAAGTGTTTGTCTATGCTGCTGATGACAGTGTAGACCATCCAGCTTCAGCTGACCTGGACAGCTAAGCAGCACAGGCCAGCCATGGGATTTTAACGGCAATGTAAACACCTTCAAAAGGCCTGGTTTGTTGTTGGGGGTGTCGCCTACTGACCTGTTCCGTGTCCCGCTGTACGTGTGCTCCTCCCGTTAGGTGTCCACATTGCTAAGTGTCTATGCTGCTGATGACAGTGTAGACCATCCAGCTTCAGCTGACCTGGACAGCTAAGCAGCACAGGCCAGCCATGGGATTTTAACGGCAATGTAAACACCTTCAAAAGGCCTGGTTTGTTGTTGGGGGTGTCGCCTACTGACCTGTTCCGTGTCCCGCTGTACGTGTGCTCCTCCCGTTAGGTGTCCACATTGCTAAGTCTAGTGCCACAGCAGCCCGCTGAAGGTTCCCTCTGCATTGAACATCCCGCA